TGCCCACGAAGGGGTATAAGGTTTAGGTACATATGAAAGAGAGGTTTAGGGTTTAGGGTTTATAGGGTTTGGGGTTGGGGTTCTATAGGGTCTAGGGTTAATAGGCCATACGGGCTCCTTTGAAGATAAGAGTCTTATCGGGATCAAGTAGTTCTAGAACACGAAATCAAGAGTCCTAATTCAGGCGGTTCCTTTAAGGGTTCATTTGAGGGTTCCTCTAAGGGTTTTGTATGATGTTCTGGTCTATGCACTCGTAAAGATTTAGGGTTTGGGGCACTAGGTGTTTCTTTCAACGGGCTCTGCTAAGGGTCTCATAGGTTTAAAGGCTTGTCAGGGGTTCAACTTCATCGTAGAAGCAAGCCTCGGAGGACAACGCTGGAGACCATCGATGCCTTCTTCACGAGCCTTCGCTACAAGAAGCCTCGAAATCCGTTTCCTCTTGGGAGTGGGCGGGGGGTTGACTTCGGTGTGTTCCAGGACTTGGGATGCTTCAGGCTCGATTCCATGGTGCCGGGGTTCAGCAAAGACGCACAAGAAGAGCTGAAGCACATGGCAATCCCAGGCCTCAATCCCAACTCCACCATGCGACCCAGGAGCATGAGCGCCGGTGCCCAGACGCTCTACGAAGATCGCGCATCTTGGCTTCAAGATATTTCGAGGCTACTGCGATTCGGATCTGTGTGCTGCGCCAGCTGGCTGTCCCTGTTTTGGTCAACCAGAGTCAACCACATTCCACCCGAAGTCCCCAGCGTTTGGAACTTCGAAATGGATACAAATTGATCACAAATCGCCCAGAGCATTAATGGGTGTTCAATCGCTGCGTCCATCCACTGCTCCTAGAAGATTCGATGATATTCGATGGATTGTAAGAGTCTCAAACCCGAATCTCGACCCTGGTACCAAAGAGCCAAAGATTGCCAAAGATCTTCAGTTCTTAGGCCGGCAGTAGTTAAAACGAAAGCCAACAGTAGATGTTTTTGGAGACCCCCCCCTTCCCCACCCCGCTTCCCCTCTCCATCACCTCCCTCTCAAAACCGTCTAAAGTTTAGAGTCTAAAGTGTATCCCCGTATATCAAAGTATATTTTTTGTATTTTGGAGAATATTCAATATTTTGGTATATTATATCCCTATAATAGGGCCAAGAAACTCCGGTTAAAGTATGCAAGCAGAGACCGAGCTCTTTCGGCACCGTGCAAGGCCAAGACAATCACCTTGGTTGGAGGCCAGTTCGTTGTGCAAACTGGATCACGGGCTTTACAGGGGTTTAAGCCTGGAGCAGGCATGCTATACCAACCGTTCAGATCAAGTTTCGGAATGCAAACATGATGCCCAAACGGGAAACGCCTACATGCTTGGAGCCAACGTCGGGATCAGTTCAGGGTCCGGGGTCTTTGAGGTTTCCGGGCTGAGCGCCGAAGATTTGTCTAAAGATCAAGTTCAGGATTCAGTGTCACGGGTCGTTCTGTTACCATTGTTCCAGTTGGCATGTGCTCCTATTCGTCGGGATGCATACTCGGAGAACGGGTCCATCTCATCAGCAGAACTTCAACACCATACGGCCCTAAAAGCCGCAGCGCCCTTCCAGGTCTTATCATTCAGAATTCTGGATCGTTCTGACCTTATATGAGAGCCTCGACTGAAACCCCGCCTGACATAGATTCGGCGCAGGGCTCACTGCTCTCGCAGTGGGGGTCTACAGCGCCCGCTCGGCGACGCGCGTGGCGGGCCGTGTTCTAGCAGCTCGCTATTGATGGGGTTAACTTGGAACTCCGAACAGCCCAAAGCAGGCAATTCATGTCGCAAGACCTCAAGTGCAAGTACTCTACTTGGAGCCTTCAGGTTAGGGGCATCGCGTCCGGATTTCTATGCGAGAAAGATTGCAAGTTGGGGCTTCAAGTCACTGTGCCTATGTTCGGCCGCTAAAGACATGCTACAGACAACTCCGCACCCCCAAAGCGTACACCCCACACGCCTCAGGGCGCTTTAGATCCCAGAAGCCGTAGCCATTAAGCCCTATAAGCCCCAAACACAAATTCACAAAGCGCCTTGAACTCATAAGAACCCTGCACCGGAACATCTTCAACAGTTCATCTTGCCGCCTCAGGAGAGACATCTCAGTCGGCCGCCTTTGGTGCGTGAGACTTCAAGGCTCTGCAAACTTGTATTGGGGCTTTGGGTTTAGGGTTCAGGGTCTAGGGTTTATAGGGCTTCGGGTTTAGGGTTTAGGGTTGATATGTTTGTTTTGGTTTAGAGCCGAGTTTCTCGGTATGTCGCTTTAGCCGCCAGGATTTCGGCTCTGCTTCGAGGCTGAAGAGACGCACGCGAAGATGATTCCTAACATCTTCAACCATAAAGCCTCATGCATACAACTTACAACCTTCCTGATGAAGTCCTAAACACACTTTATAACCTTGGTAAACGCCTAGATCATAAACTCGAAGCTCCTTCTTGCGAAGGTGGTCCTGGCGGCCGCAGCTATCCTGGCTACCCGGGCGTGGCACAAGCACCAACCTCTTCGAAGCTTTGCCTCTACGGTCTCGAGTTTGATAGTTGGACCGGCCTCCTCGAAAAACTGACCATATTCCTAATTCGTGCTCCCTTCAAGGTCCTTGTTTGTGTTTTATCTTGACCCTGAAGCCCCCCCCCCCCCCACACACAAGGACAAGATCGTCTTGGAGGAGGCCCTGTCGGAGCGTCTTCAGTGGTCCACCAACGCACTGCTCAGTGCACAACAGCGCCCCGGCACGGACAGAAATGCCCCGGAGCTACCGTACCCATAGGACCTGGAATATCCAGATGCCTGAAACACTCGAAGCATTATTCAAGCCCTACAGCCTTGAAAGTTCGAACTTATGGCGGTTGTGTGGGTGAAATTTAAGCTCTCGATTTCGGGTAGCCAAATTCAATTCAGATTTCTTGCTTTCGTTGCAGGGGTGTGGGTGTTCAGATGAAGCCCCATCTCCGAGCCTCTGAGGAATGGGACGCCCTTCCGCCATCTGCTCCTTCACGGACCTCCCGGTGCCCCTATCACAGATGGAGGGATGGCTCCAGCCCTAAACCCCAAAACTGCTAAATCCTCGAATCTTCCAACCGGAAATTCGAGTTTGCATCCAGGAAAACATGCCAAGGCCGAGACAAGCCCAAGGTCCTCAAGCCTGAAAATCCCCGTGATGCCCTCGGTAAGCCTCTAGCCATCCTAAGCCCCTGAGCTTGCACCCAAAGCTCCGAAACTTTTCGCCCGAAGTCTTTTATAACCCTAAACTCTAAACCCTAAGCCCTTAAATAACCCTAAACCCTTAAATAACCCTAAACCCTAAACCCTTAGAAAACCCTAAACCCTTAAATGAAATCCCCGAAGAGCTGAGCTCTGCTATGGAAGGCACCGGGAAGACGCTCTTCGCACGGACGCTGGCAAGGCAGTCTGGCCTGGACTATGCCATCATGTCAGGCGCCCTATAGCTTTCAATAGGTAGAGCCAACAGAGTTTTTGGGGTTTAGGGGTCCTTAGTGGCTGAGTAGGTAACCTGTAACCTTTTTGGGCTTAGATAATCCTGCTATAATTCAGAAGTTTAACCTTTTTTTGGCTAGGGTACTCAGCCCCTAAGCCAAAGTTTACACTGGTGGCTGGTCCGCAAGTTTTGGTAGCTGTTTCAGGGTGGTGAGTGTCCCGCGAGCTACTTCAGACCCTGTTTGCTTTACCTTGTCTTCACCACGAATGCAACAGACCATTCGGGGACCTAGGCATTGGCTTCACCACTGCTCATTACACGATGGTTTGCGTTATTTACAGGGTTTGCAGAGTGTTTACTTCAAGGCTTGTAGGCTTGTCTGGAACGGGAAGTCCTATACACATTACACGCCTGAAGCGGGCTTTAAACAAAACACAGAAGAGGGTTCTCAAATACCGAAGAGGCTTTTTAAAACCCTAAACCCTAAACCCTAAACCCCCCTAAACCCTGAAGCCCCTCTCCCTGCCGAAGGTGGCGACCTCGGTCCTCTCGGCCGCGATGGCCCCAACGAGCTGCAACCTGACTTCCTGGGGTCAAAAATTGCAGGGTTTAGGGGTTTAGGGCTTTGGGGGTTTAGGGGCGTAGGGTTTGGGTTTTAGGGGTTGAGGGCTTAGGGTTCTTTTAGGACTTGCTGGTGCTTTCCTTGACCGATGCGAGTGTTGGCTGGGACTTGAGCCCGATAGGCAGAGCCTTGTGATGCTGACGGCCACGACCGACAAGCCTTTTAACATCGAGTGTATCATTCTGGGTTCTTGTTAAGGGATTTATAATTACCTTAAGTTACTATAACCAGGAAACTCTAGCATTTACTATAGATCTATTTTTTGGCAACTTAAACTAAATTCCTTCACAAGAACCCAGCATGGCAGCGGACCCAGCTAACTCCCACGCATGCAAGCTGTTAGCCCTGGGCCGTCTGCGGTGACCCCCCCAGCATTCCCAAAACGGATCACGCTACCCGAAAGCCTAAACCCATCTGAGGCACAAGCTCTTCGAGTGGGCCCAGCGTTCGCGGAGAGGCCCATGGAACTTTCAGTTTGGCAACTGCAACCAACACACATTGAGGTGATGTCTATCTAGCCAACAGGCCGAATAAGCCTTGCAGTCTTTCCCAAGCTCGGCATCGCAGATGCCTTCTCCGTCGTCGGGCTGTGGCGACGTTCTTTCTCTTGCAAGTTGGGTAGTGCATCTTTCCAGTTTCTAGACTTCGTACTTCGTCAAGTCTTCAATTTTGAGAGACGCAGAGCTTGTTTCTCTAGTGCTATATAGTGGCCGAGAAAGATCGCCAAGCTGCACAGGCTGCGCTGAGGCCGCTGTCGAATCATGCCCCACACCAGCCCCCTGCTAACGCCTACAGGCCCGGAATCAGAAATATCCCTGAAACATAAACTCACCCCAAGCCTTTTACCATATACCTTGAAGCGACAAAAACGAGCAGTCTGCTTACCCGAAACCCGAAGCCGTCGTAGTCCGCGCGCTTGTGTTGCCCCCCCGGACCTGAACCTCATGGCCCTACAGGGCTATATAACCCTCGAGCCCTCAAGCCCTGAACCATAAACCACACCAAGGCCCTACGTCATGAAAGAGTCCTTGGTTTTGTTGTGTTGTTCCTGGCAGGACTGGTCCTCTTCATCGACGAGGCGCGGACTAAAGCCGAACTTCGACGACTCCTGCAGTGGGTTTCGGACGTCCCGGGTTTGGTCGGGAACCCGGGGTGCAGGGCGTCCGTCCGTACTCTCGATTCAACACTTCTCTTGTCTTGCCCATAGGATCTCATAGGGGTGGATGTGGGCTCCTGACGGTGGAGACAGGCTCCATGCCGGATTGTGTGTTGCGGCTTGGTAGGTGGAGTTTTGGAACCGATGCTTTGTAGCATTTGGGGTCACATATCTACCAGCAGTACGCAGATCTTGGGTTTGGGTTTCGGCTATGAATCCGTGGGCCTGGATTGACCTCGCGCCCGGTTCGAAGTATGCTTTGTCAGGCTGACTCGTTCCTTCGCCGCGGCCGTGGCGGAGAGGGCACTATGGGCGAGGATGCGAGGAACTCGCTGTCCCTTGGTGCATACATAGACTTGCCGTTCGGTGGCTCCCGAAGCTCGTATGCCAACATGCGAGACCATCGATTCGAACAGGAATTGCTATACACCCTCAGCCCATGCTCACTTATGCTTGCCCGTCAACAAACACATCCAAGCCAACTGGATTTTACAGCAGGGCCGTAAACAGCCCGCCAAGCCCCAAATGCTACGTAGCAAACCCATGAAGCTTCAAACCCCAAACTCTGAGCCCGGAACTGTTCGTGACATTTCCATGCAAAGTAGAATAGAAGCTTTGCCTAGGGTTGCTTTATAGGCCATTCCTCTGACGCAAGATATCTAATGTCTACGTCAGGTATACCCATAGGCCCCATAGTAGTTCCTTTTTGTGGCTTATATTTAGGATCCTATTAGGTAATCCCAAAAAGGAACTACTATGGGGCCTATGGGTAGTGTAGTCTTGGGAGTCCTTGCATTGAGCCCGTCGTGACGAACCCTCGGAGCCTGAGGTTGTCGTACGAAAAGCAATAGGGATCATATTGGAAGGCAGGATCTGTCCAGGAAGGCGCAAACGAAACTTTGTCAACCCTCTCCGAATGCTTCGTCCGTCAACCAATAAGCCTTTGCCGCTGAATCAAGACCCCGGAAGGTCCGTCTTTTTGCATCACACCGGCACCGAAAGCGCCCGTGTGGCCGTGATTCTTGCAACGCCGCTCTGCTGGTCTATAACATTGCCCTCAAGTGGTTTATGGTGTAGGTGGGGTTTATGGATTTAAAGCCTTGAAGGTTAGGTGTTTTGCTTTGCTGTGAAGGCCCACACAGCAAAAACAACACGCAACTAGCGCACAGGCCTGCTTCTAGAGGACCCTGCCTCGCTCTTGGCTCGAAAGGAATGTTCCCACCGTCTTGGATCGAGCCGTCCTCGACCGTGTGGACGAGGAGTTCGAATTTCCGAGGCCGCGCAGACTCCACGGTTGAGGGCTGTTGACGGTTGGTCCTTAAAGATATATGGGGGTTTCCGAAAATAGGGGGGTACCTTATTTTGGGATCCTTATGATAAGGATCCTACTATTTAGGGTACTATATTAGGGTCCCCTATTTTCGGAAACCCCCATGTAGTGCTTGAAGGTTCTATGGCTTACAAGCTGGGCATGCTAGGTGTCGGGTATTTGATGGTGTAGAGTGTCGGCTCTTGAGCAGGTGCATGTATGCATGTGGGGGTTTCGGAAAATAGGGGACCCTAATAGTACCCCAGATAATAGGATCCTAGAACCCCACAAGAAGGTACCCCTTATTTTCTGAAACTCCCATGTTTGCATGTCGTGCTAGATGATCACAGCGCAAAAAGAGGGATCAACCGCAAAACCTTGTTTGCTCTGAGGCCGACATCCGAAAACCCTGTAGAGCCCCAAAGCAAGCCGCGAGAAGGCCCAGAATTCCAAGGCCCGAACCCGAAAACCATGCAAGCCCTAATGAACCAAACCAAAAACCGGGAAACGGGAGAGCCTAGTTTAAGGTGCATAAGACGTTGTGCATGTGGGTTTCTGAAGCCTGAATCCCTGATCACCCCGCCTACCGAAAAGCAAAAGTCTTTCCGGCCTAGCCACCACAGTGTTTTATCCTCGCCGGCTCTGACGCCAGACCCGCTTTCGAGCAGCGGAATCAGATGCTCCGCCTCTTCATCGATCAGCGACTTGGCCCGTGTCTAGGGCACAGGAGATTTCAGAACTGACTCGTGGTTCCGAATTCAGGGCAAAGTGGAAACGAAATTTTAGGTCTATAGTTAATAAGTTAAGGGTTCTACCCCACACACCAACACCTCAAAACCATACAACTACAATTCCCCAAGAGTCTTGGGGCACGGGTTGCCCTGCTCCTTGGAAAGGCTGGGCTGCTTTTGGCATGATGCTACCAGCTCCAAGCCCGGCTCTCCATAGTTTTTGGGACAACTTCCCCCCCCCCCCTTTAGGGTTTAGGGTTTAGGATTTAGGGTTCCCGGTATGAATGACAGGTATCTGCTGCGGTCCTCGAAGGGCGGAAAGTCGCTGATCGAAGTGGACGCTGCGCTGGACGACAAGTTTTGGGAGGACTGGGCCACTTGGGGTATCTGCCCCGGCCCGCCCCACCCCTTTCCCGGTAAAGAACCATCGAGCGTCCTTGAGCGATGGAGAAGAGGTGCGACCTCATTGCATCAAATGACTCGAAGGACGTTTGCCCGTGGCTCGAATTTGTCTCTAGCTACGGGGGCAGTTGGCTAGAGACCTGCCAACATCATGGCTTTGCGTCTTGTGGGGCATGAAAACGTGTGCGTCACCAGCCAGGACGTTTACAACCTGTATTTGCTCGTACATCACTTTCGTGGAGCCGATTGGGCCCAGCATGTTCTGCCCTTTGTGGGATTCCGCATCTTGAGCTCCAATTGTTCCGTGGCCGCAGGTGATTCCCACACATGCGCAATCAGTGAGGCTGGGGAGCTTGCCGCCTTCACGGACATATACGATCTGCTGCCTCCCGATCTCGGTCCGGTGGTGGCCGTGGCTGCCGGAGATTTTCACACCTGTGCCGTGAAGGCGAGTGGCGAGCTGGTATGCGTCGGATTCAATAACCGTGGTCAGTGCGATGTGCCTCCCGACCTGGGTCCGGTGGTGGCCGTGGCAGCCGGATGGAGACGCACCTGTGCCGTGAAGGCGACTGGCGAGCTGTTGTGCTTCGGACACA